GTCGTCGGCGGTGTCGCATATTATTATTTTTTTTTCTCTTCGCGCGCTATATAAAAAATTTACACTATTTATAATCAATAAAAATCGATAAGAAGTTTCATTTCATTTCTTTTCTGCCTTCTGGGGGGACGAGGGGTAGCCTTAAGTAGATATACATCAGACGACAGCGCTAAGGTAATTTGCGATCCTACCGCTAAACGTTCATTACCAAATTCGAGAGACTGGAGAATTTTATAATCTTTTATATCTTTCTTTCTTTCATCGTCCACGTTAATAATCGTCGTTATTAATCATCGTTATCATCATCGTTTATATATCTTCATCATTACAGGGCGTGGGGGGAGAGAAACGTGTGACGACTGGAAAGATTAATGAAAAAACGCACTTGGAATATGCTATATACCGTATTTATAAACGCGTTACATACGTGTGCTTCTTGCCTTACATGCGTATATGTATATGTGTATATGTATATATATATATGCATATGCATTATGTGTATATATGTATATACTTGCGGGTATATATGCATATATATACATTTACATATGGCTTATTTAGCGATTAGTGTGTGAATAGCAAAAACGAATAATCAAATAGTGGGACTCGTGGCGGGGGGAGGGGGATCCTGGGGAGTGGGCGGAGGGGTAGGGAGCTGGGCGACGGCGTTAATCAAACAATAATATATTCGACGAATATGATAAATGTAGAGCGCTAATAATAATACAATATAATAATAATTATTATAATATAATAATAATCGTAGAGAGTAATAATAAAACTATATATGATAGAGAAAATCGATAATCTTACGTTAGCTGATAAGACATGAGAGATTTTGCGTTCGACGTTTGCTTCCTGTTTCTCGTTAACAGTTTTCTCCTCGCATAATTTTTACATGAACGTTTGTCTGCTTTCTCGACAATTCGACGACAGGTGGTGGTTGTGGTTTGTGAGACGGTGGTGGTGGTGGTGGTGAGTGGTGGGGGTGGTTCGGTGGAGGTGGTTGGTCGCGATATGATGGATTATCTATTACAGATGAGAGGCGCGGTTTTCTCGACAGATTAATTTACAGATGATTATTACGCGCGCGCGCGATTTATTACACACGGATGAAGGAACTATGCACTCTCTTTCTCTCTCTCTCTCTCTCTTCCTCTCTCGCGTCATTCTTTGAACATTATAAACAATGTCTCGCGTCTCTCGCGTTTTACCGAGATTTATCGCGGTTTAACGGTACGTTTAAGGGTTACACGTGTGTCGGTACACGGGTCTCTGTGTGTGTGTGTGTGTGTGTATCGTGTGGGTTTTCTGTCGACTTGGGGTGAATTGGCGGTTGGAATGTTTGGTCTGTAGACGGAGAGAGACGTGTTTCTCGACGTCTCGCGATGTCTCTTCGACGACAAGGTTGTCGTGTCGCTCATCGGGTGTGTCTGCGTGTATTCTTCTCTCTGTACGCATTTTGTGCGAGAGAGCGCAGCGTCCCCGGCAATTTTCAGGCTCGGCCGGAAGCTTACGCGCAACGAGGCTCACGAGTAAACGTGCCCCGAGATCTCCCCGAGTTCAGGTTGGGGGGGTAGTCGAGTTATATCGTAATCGTTCGATCGCGTCCGCTCTCGTTCGTCCGTCCGTCCCTCCGTTCCTCCCCTTTAAATGAAAGCGATCGTCGCATCATCATATCTAATCAATAGAAAGAGAGAGAGAAAGTGTACCTAAGAATTTGTCAATTTCGTTAATAAATCGTTATTTACAATATCTTACAAAGAAAGCTGCTACGTTCTCTTCTTCCCTCTTCCTCCTGCCTCCCCACCCTGCTCTCTCTGCCGCTGTCTCCCCGCCTGCCGGCGGTTCTTCCGCGTTCCACACTTTTATTTTCTTTCCTCCCCCTTTGTACAAATTCGCGCGACGGCCGTTTTGGTTTTTAATCGAGTTGCCGGCGAGTCCCCCCACATCGTGTCCTCGTCTATTTTATGATTCTTCCTTTTTCTTTTTTCTACATATTTAACAACTATACTTTATATATAATATAACGGAATATATATATCATACATTATACACGAGCTTTACTTTTTAAGGCGCACAACTCGATCGTAATCTCAATACGTTTTCTCCGTCGATCGCGAGAGATACGCAAACTAAGAAAGCGGTCGGAATCGAAAAGCGCCGGACGAACGAGGTTGTCCTTCTTTCTTTCTCTTTCTCTTTCTCTCTCTCTCTCTCATTTTGTGAAGAAGCACGTGCCGCCGGAATCTGTAGGTTGTCCGCGCGAAATCGCGCGTGTGGCAATTACACACGGCTGACAATTTACAAAATAATATACGTGCGCTACACGTCGAGCGCGTAATCGTAAGAAATATCGCTCGATACAAGCGATAGTGAATTTCAAGCCGAGAAAAAGCAAGACTCCCCCCCAATGGAGGATCATTTGTCTGTACGCGCCGGTTCCGCGTGCTTCCGCTGAAAATCAGCCGCGAATGATCACCCTACTCCCTTTCATTTCCAACCGTCAGTATATATTACAAATTGAAATGCTCCGTATGTGTAAGATGTAGGTGTATATGGGTCGAGTTCATATTCATATTTATATATGTATAATATATGTATAATATATATATATATAAATATAAAAGGGGGAAAGAGAAGGGAGAGAGGGTAATGGCGCGAAAATATTATAGATACACATGCGTCGTGCATGATTTCCCAATACTTTTGTTTCACCGAAGAACGCGTTCATTTTCATTTATACAATGTACAATGGCCTCTCTCTCTCTCTCTAATCACCATGGAAAAAAAACGGTAGCTGCAAATTATTTTTAAAATGAGGATATATCAGAGGGGGGAAGTCGATATATATATATGTGTGTGTATGGTGTATGTGTGGCTGTGTGTATAGGTGTACTTCTCTCTCTCTCTTTCTCTTCCTATCTCTCTTGTTTATATATATATATATATATATATATATATATATATATACACAAATTTTTCTCNCCATGAAAAAATGTTTATATTTTACAATTGGATATACGGAAAGATGTGAAGTCGAATGAGTGAAAAGAGCAAGACAGAAAAAGAGAAAGAGAGAGAGAGAGGAGGAGGGGCGGCTAGGCAAGAGATGGAGAAATGGAAAGGGATAAGAGGAGCGAAACTTATCGGTTAAGGCAGCAGCGTTAGAACGTAAACGTATTTTAAATTTAATATAATTAGTAATTATTATAATACACAATATTCACAGACTCCGTAAAAAAGAGAGGGCAAATGGGAGAAGAGGAGTTTCCCGTGAGAAATAAAATATTCATTGAATTTTCATACGGTCCTCGCGTCTTGGATATTCGTACCTATACACATTTGTTATTTATTTATATCACAATTTACAAAATTCGAGGGGTCTCAAGTAGGGAGTGAAGGAAGGAGGAGGCCGGGGTATATTCGGGAAATGAGAGGGGGGGGGGGGGGAAGGGGGAACCAAGAGGGGAAAANTCTTTGCTCGCGAGCAACGAACAAAAGAAAAAGGATAATAAAAAATCAAACGAACAAAGGGGAGAACGCGGCTTAAGAGAGACACACATAGCCTCTGTATGTCTGTCTCTCTCCTCGTTTACTTCTTCATCCCTGTTTTCCTTCTTTTCACTTATTCTTTCCCCTCTATACGTGTACATGTGTGTGATTGCGTGTCACATCTCTATAATCATCCTCCGAAGTAAATAAAAAGCAAAACTAAGAAGAAAGAAAAACAAAAAATATATAACTAAATAACGCAAAATCCATTCCTTTTGTTCATCTTCGAAGGTTGTCTCTCTACATAAAAAAGAAAGTAAAAAAAAAAAGAAAGTAAACGAACAACGAAATAATCGGTCTCTCTCTACATGTGTGTCGTGTGTTTTGTGTGTGGCGGAGGGGAAGGTGAATGTGTATGTGTGTACGTATGTGAATGTATCCAAGCAGTCTCGGGAAGTGGTGGACGGGTGAGGATAAAGGACGAGGGACGAGATGATCAGTGTGATGATCGCCAGAGGTCAGAGCAAGGGAAGAGGGATGGGGGGNGGGGGTATTGGTTAGGATCCGGTGCCCGATTTTTCATCGTTCCCATGTCAAACGCTATGCTACATTTAAACAACATATCTATAACTCCTAAACCGCTACTGTATACTTCTCACACCCTCTTTTTATCAACTCACGTTTCGACGCAGCGTCGCGCGCGCAGACTCGTCGCGAATCCGATCCGATCAGGTGCGTAATACCACCTCGCGCATAAAGAATGATACTTAAAAGAAAAAAAGGAACAGAAGTAAAATAAAGAACAGAATGAAGAAGGGCGGGAGGAAGGGAGCACAGGGGAGGGAGAAGAAAATCTTCAGCCGGTAGATTCGGCGTAACTTCAAGGGGGAGAGAGGCGGGCGGGAGGGGGTATGCAGTAGTGTATACTAGTAAGAGAAGCGGGGAGGGGCGCGCGCGGTATACGCGCGCAATCGAAGCGTCGTCGTCATGCGCGCCACGCGCGGTCTCGCGTTTGTTACTCTTCCGCTCTTCTTCATTTTTTTTTATATTTCTTTTTACGCGATCTCTCTCTCTCTCTCTCTCTCTCTCTCTCTCTCTCTCTCTCTNCTCTATCGTTTACAAGTCGATATAAATGCATGCAGCACTAATAAGAGACCTAACCGTCTAAAAACTGTCAGTTAATTCTTTCGTCCTCGCGAGAGTATCTACGTCGGCCGCCGGGTGGTCCGACTGCTGCTAGTGGATACCTCGCACACCCGGGGCGCATGCGTGCATGTTTGTTTGTCTATTTGTTTGTCCGTCCGTCTATACGTCTCACTCTACGGAGATGCTCCGCTTTTCTCCGCGCGGATAACGCAACAGCAGCCCTCTCTCTCTTTCTTTCTTCCTCCTTCTCTCTCTCCCTACCTTGTCTTCGTCGGCACCGACAGACGATAATGAATAATTATATACGTATCGTAATAATAATCGAGAGCCGACTGCTTGATTCGAGTGAGAAAGAGAGAGAGAGAGAGAGAGAGAGAGAGAGAGAGAGAGAGAGAGAGAGAGAGAGAGAGAGAAAAAGAGAAAGGAAAAAGACAGATTCTCCTTTCGAAGTGGCGTCTCTGGTATTAGTAGCACGACGGATCTACGTGAGGGAACTTTAGCTTTTCATAACGAATTCCTCGCGCGACGACTCCGCTCTCCTCGTCGATCGGTCGTCGTCGTCGTGGTATGCAACTCAAGATTCGGTCGAATAGAGTCAAGTCGATTAGTTTCGCGAGACCCGTCGTCGTCGTCGTCGTGGTCGCCGTCTTACACCGTGGACTCCCCACGGTGCTTGTATATGTGTGTATCTGTATGTGTGTATTCGCGTTGTCGTCGTGTGCTCGAGTCGCGGATGATCCCCCGTGCCAGCGCATACCCGAGGACACGCACAGCCGCTGCGCGCCGGGGGAGTGGTCGCATTTCGATTTCCGTTAACGATAGAAAAATGTACTGCACGTATCATATATCCCTATATTCGCTCTCGCGTGTCGGTTATCTTCGTTCTTCTCTTCTTCACAGACCGCTCCTTCCGGACTTAACACGTACGGATGTTCTCCGTCGGAGGGCGCGCTCGTTCTCTCTCTCTCTCTCTCTCTTTCTTTTTCTCTCGCCGTGCCGATGATCTCGTTGCCCGGCTACCGAGGAGAGGCACGCGCCGCTGTACGAACGACACGTGTCTCGTGTCGATCTTACCGCGATTTGCAAAAATAAGAAAAATTACACACTTAAGCGCAAATTTCTCCCGTCACAGAAGCGCGGCGTGTGTGTGTGTGTGTGTGTCCGAGTCGTGTGTGTTTCCTTTTTCTTTCCTTTCCTCTCGCTTCTCAAACTCTCTCTTTCTCTCGCGTTCTTTTCCTTTCCTTTCTTCCAGTTTCGTTTTCCTTTTCTGTTCTCCGCCTTCTCAGAGGACACGGGTCAACGAGAAACGCGACGGATCGCCGAGATTCGTCGTTTTGCCCGTCGACGACGATCGTAACGGTGGTGAAACAACAACAGATCTCTTTCTCGTTTTAGAAGTAAAGCAGGGTCAAACGTGTGTCTGGTGACGCGTGCGCGGAGGTCTTACATGTATAATATATATATGTATATATACATGTATATATATATATATATACATATATATGTATATATATACATATATATATGTAGATAGATAGAGTTCTCATTCCCTTTCCGTGTATCTCGCTGTTCTTTCTTGTGCTTGTCTGTCCCTGTCGCGACGGAGAGAAGAAGAAGACCCCGCGCGCGCGTTTATAAAACTTGCGTGGACGCCTGGGCCTGCGTAGAGACGGGACCAGCGGCGGAAGCGGGCGGTCCGATCGGGCCGAGATCGCTGCCGCCGCTCGTCGAGCCACCGGCTGGCGTCGCCACTCCCATCGCCGAGGCGGTCTTCATGAAAAACTTCTCCAACTTCACGATGATGTGCTTGCCATAAGTGTACTTGCGCAGGCTGCCCAGGTGCGGGCGGATCTTGTGCATCAGTACTTTGCGCTGCGCCGGCTCCGCCACGTCGATCATCTTCTGGACGACGTAGTTGGCGTACTGGTCCTTCATCATGACGTTCAATGCGCTGTTGTGGCCGGCGCAGAGGGGGGGAGGGGGGGAAAAGAAACGGAGAAAAAGAGATTAGAGGAGGTCTCCCTCCGGGTGTGACAAAAAGAAAGTGTTTGATAAGAAGTTGCACTCACTTGTCGTTGAAGCCACAGACTTCTTCGATCAGTATGGCGCGTTCCTGCCTGGTGGCATGAGTCACGCATTTCTCAACCACGTTGCTCGCGAATTTATGCTGGGAGAGAGCGAGTACCTTGCCTCTGACGCTGCTGATTAATTGTGCTTTGTCCTCCGGCTTTCCGTGCTCTGCGAGGACACGGGGAGATAAGTATCTTTAGTGCCACGAGTAACTCGTTACGTCTAACAGGCCGAATAATAAATACGTAATGAGGTATGAATCAAGCGGCCCCGATACCGCCGCGATACCGAAGATGTAATGTAAAATATGTATATACCATATCCAGTATATATATATGTTTGTTTGGTAATATTAATATTTAAGTATATGGTATATATTATTCATATATGACGATATATTCATACGTTAATATATAAGTATATTATATATATATAAATACGCGAACAAAAGAAAAAAACAGAGAGAGCAGCTTACCAAGCACATGTTGAATGACGTAATTGCCGTACTGGTCCTGAATGAGCTGGTCGGTGGAGGCGTGCAGCTCCTGCAGGATGCCCTGCGTCTGCTCGGGGGTGCAGTGTTCAAGAATGCGTTGGATCACGCGGCAGCCGTATGGATGCGTACTCAACGCGAAAACCTGGCCGGTGAACGCGCCTATGACGAACTGCAGCGCCCGCGGTTCAACGCATTCGATGCACTTCTGGACAACGTGGTTTCCGTTCTGATCCTTCACGCACTTCAGCACGTGCCCGTCCAATTCGCGCACGATTTCCTGCTGCTGCTCCGGCCCGATTGACTCCAACGCCTTCTGTATCACCCTGCAGCCGTACATCTGGAGCGCCAATGGTAACACATGTCCGCGAACCTGTGGTGGAGAAACGAGAAATCAGACGCGGGAACGTGCACGGGGCGCTCTCGACCGGGCCACGGTCCGACCAGCGGTCAGATCATTTGATACGTTAATCACGTTGAATCAGATGACACGCAAAGTGTCTCGTCATACTCGGCCAGTGCGGAGCCACAGTGAATTATACGGCCGGAGCCGCACGGCGAACTGACAGAGGGAGAGAGAAAGAGAGAGGGGGGGGTAGACCATCGGCGACCGATTTAACTGGATCAAGTGAGAGCATGTGATTCACGCAAAGAGAGAACGCGATCAGGCAAATCCGCAGGCTACATTCAATGACTTTTAACGACAATGTCGTTACCGTTACGTTACCGTTACGTTACCGTTACGTTACCGTTACGTCGTCCCGTCGTTGCGCCGAGACACGCGTATAACACGTGGTAGACTAGCTGCGCGCGTCGACGACGTAACGGTAACGACACTCCGTCGTTAAAAGTTACAGAATAAGCCTGCTGGAAATCGTCGATCTATAGCCGCGTCTAGGCTCCTTTTTCTTTCCTCTATGTGCAGTGGTGGATTGGTGTAGAAACTAATGATGATCGAAAGGACCTCCCACTTCAGTCCTCCGATTTCGTTTAATTAATTAAATAAGCAATTATGGAGGTTGTAAGGCGAAATAATCCAGACTGAATATATAAATATGCACAGATTTAAACACTTTTATCTATACATATCTCTTTCTTTTTTTTACTATCTGTGCATCTCTATTAGATCAACAATATTTGTAATATTTCGTACATATTTATCCTTACTGTTACTATTTATTACATTAAATTTCGTTTCAAAAATTGATATATATATTATTTAGGTAGTGAGATAAAGAACAGAAACGTAATTTTGCTTGATAAACACTAAATTTATGAGTGGCCCCTTGGTGCGCCACTGAGCCTTACAACCTTAAGTCCGCATCAGACTGCGGATTAGGATTGAGATCGGACTGAAATTTGATCAATCCAAGTTCTTTAAACTCAAGTTTGTCCAGTTAGTCTGACACGGGTTTTAAAGGGCCTCTGAAACAGTATTTGGCATCGGGTCGAAAAGTCATGTATCGACGAGTGTCGGCCTTAATCTTCGAAAGAAACGCGACCGTAAGAGCACGTACCTTTTGAGCAAGGGTGGATTTCTGTTCCGGAGTGCCATATTCGAAGAACTTTTGAATCACATAATTCCCAAACACATCAGTCATGAGTGAATACGCGGAGGAGAGGATTTCTTGAAAGACGAGCTGCTTCTCGCTGGCCGAGGCACGTTCCAGCTTCTGCTGGATGAATCTTGAGCCATGCTGATCCTGACTGAACTCCACTATATGATTAGCCAAGTCACGCAGCTGGAGGCTGGGAAATCTGCGCAGAACAAGAGAGGGCCGCGGGCATCAGTCGAGAATTCGACCGGCGAGATGAAGAGATACCTCGGTATTGTCTTCTCGAGTGTATGCGCTCTTCCACTCACCGGTTATTTCGGAAATCTTCGAGCAGCCGTGATCTTCCACCGGCATTCTTGTCGCTGATATTGGCGGCGCCTCCGCGACCTGGTTTGCCCACGAGGTTGGGGAACAAGGAACTGCTGGAGCCGAAGACGCCGTTGGCGGTCAATGCGGGGACCGCGCTCGCGCGGAACTTGGCCTCTGCCCCCGGAGCGGCCGACACGCGACTGGCACCGCCGACGAGACCGCCCAGAGATCCTCCCAGAGTCGGCGGCGGTGTTAATGACAATCCCAACGGACTCGGTGATGCGGTCACTGTTCCTGTCGGTTCACACAAAGAGGATCGAGGGTGAGACTTTAATTCCATTAACCAGACGGACAGTTCATTGCTACACGTTATCTCGGAGTACGCTTGACGCGAGACACTGACGTGTCTCTTGATATCCTCTCGCCGGAATTTGCCATTATTCACATAAATGTCTATTTAACGAATTTCGTCTGAAGATTTTACTTATTATTCGCATTGTTCGTTATTCACAACAAATAACGCGAATAACAAGGATAATAAATTATTTGTGTATTCGTTTAAATAAATTCATTTAAATGAACATGAATTATTCGATGGCTTCTGAATAAAAGCGTTACTTATATACAGATTTATTTGTTCCTGTGTTGGCTTACACATACATACACACACACACAAACATCGAGGGATTTTAATTTCATTAACGAAACGGATATCTTTTGCTACACGTTATTTCTGGTGAGCTTGGTGAGAGACACTCCCGTGTCTCTTGATATCCTTTCGTACAATCAAACTGGTGCAGAAGCTGCGTCGTGTCGGTCAGGCGAAAAATCAGGAATAATATTAATTAGTACAACTTTCAAATAATTTCTGGCAACTCCTGCACCAGTCAGACTCCGGTCGCGAGAAGTTCGTTCATTCTTCCTCTCTTAACCTACACAGAGAAAAAGATTCCTATTTAAATTTCAGTGGAATTCTTCGGATTTAATAATATTTCCTTAATTGAAACAAATTTGTCTTTCGGAGTAGAGCAAACAAACGAATATTTGATTCAACAAATAAGAATGTTTGGTTTATCAAATCACAATATCTTTACGTCAAATAATACATTTCTCTTGCATTTTCGCCCAAACCTTGCCAATGATTGTTCACAAGAACTTCTTCATTTCATTGGAACAATATTTAACATGTAATAAAATACATTTCTTTAATTGAAAACGAAATAATAATAAATTATATTTCTTATATATTAAACAAAACCCAAGTAAAACAAAACACGTAATATTAAAACCAAAGTAACCTTTTTCTCTGCGTGAGGGAGAAGAAGCGGACAAATTTCTCAATTAATATACTTGAGCGGAAAACTTGAAGTTACGAGGGCTAACTCGCGCAATTTAAACGGTAAAATATAATGAGAGTATCCAGCTCTGTACATTTAGATACATCTTATCTCGGATATCTATTGCGAGCTATTATTATCGGGCTTCTGGGAACTCCTCGTTGTACTCGCGAACGACGTAACTGTACACGGAGGCGACGTGGAAAATGTACAGGTATCTAATACCGCGCACCGTGTGGTTAAATCGCAACGAGAATTTACAGCGACACTCGGTGACTACGGTCTCCTCCGACCGGTCGTCCTTGCGGGGACGCGGTGCGACGCCCGCTCGCGCATTCAGCGCGCTCCCATCGCTCAACAAGCGGTTTCTCGCGTAGGAGGCGTCGGGACGCCACGTAACAATACAGCCTCGTTTTTTTTACAACGTTAGCGACAATTCTCGTAGGGAGGAGGGTAGTGAACGTTTTGTTACCACAGCCTTTTAGTTACATGTGTACAGAGAGAAGCACGTGTACAAATGAACCGACGTAGTTATATTGACACAATGTACAACAACGCTGGGTTAATCGGACGTCCATGGCGATTCTCAGCACCACACACTGCCGTCTATGTACATGTGTACATAATATGCATATATATGTAGGGTATATGTAAATATGTATATAATATGCATATATATGTAGGGTATATGTAAATATGTATATATATATATATATATATATATAGGGCGGAGAGTATCTAAAAACGGTAACACGCTCGGGTCTTCTCGTCGTTGACGCGCGGAAAAGTAACAAAGGAAGAAAATCGCGCGTGCACGGCCCGAAGCCGGGAAAAAGCGGCGACAAAGCGGCGAGAAGGAGAGGAAGAAGAGATAATTCCATTCCGGTCGGTCGTCGACTCTCCTCCTCGTCATCCTCGTCGCTCTCGTCGTCGTCGTTACTCTTCCGTGTGCATTTAAGCGCGCACGCGCGCACATCGGGATCTGCACCCCGAGATTTTTCGCAAACACGTCGAGAGAGAGAGAGAGAGAGAGAAGCGATCCTTACCGAGAGCGCCGTAACTCTGAGGCCACTTCGCCCGGCTATATTCCAAGCTCGGACTGAAGGCTGAAGTGTTTCTATCAAAGGAATCTCGTCTGCCGGTCGAGGACGCACCGAGGCCTAAACCTGCACACAAGACGGCATCGTAATCTTAGCTCACGTGGTGCTCGAGAGGAAGAGATTAGATCGAATCGTGCGTGTATCGTGCGAGGTGAACAGCAAGCGAGGGTGACGAACGTGATCGACAAATCGGTGTGATGAGGAAGAGGGTGAGAGATAGACAGATAGATAGATGGATAGATAGATAGAGAGAGAGAGAGAGAGAGAGAGAGAGAGAGAGAGAGAGAGAGAGAGAGAGAGAGAGATAGATAGAGCGAGAGCGAGAGAGAGACTTGGCTGCCGCTTCGGCATACACGAGAGAGAAAGAGAGGGAAGAATACACAGTAAAAACATTTTGTGCTTGTATTAAAATTGGTCCTTGTTAAAACTCGTGTTAAATTTTTAACGTACTTGTGCGTTAATTCAACACGTTATGTTTATGTTATCTCAAGATATTTTGTGTCGAGTCGACATTCAACATATGTCAAAATAATATATTTCATGTTCCAGTGTCGATTAACGTATTTTCTGTTAATTTTTGACACAATATTTGTGTTATTTCTCAACATATTTACTTTGTGTAAAATTACATCTGTTAAACACACCATTTTTTACTGTGTACAGTCGCGATCGGGACACGTGAGAAAACCATGCAACGGACACATCACGGGCTACTTTTTTTTTGTACACGAATATCCGTACACACACCGCCGGGAAACGAAAGGGGTCTCTTTGGTCGCAGGAAGGAGTCGCGAGAGCCCGAGAGAGAATTCCCTCGTGGGTTCACGCGGATCTCTATCGATCTCGCTCGTCTTTCACCGCTGGACGAGCGTGATGTGCGATAACGACGGCTCAATAGCTGCGTGTCAGGAAACACAACGGTCGAGTGAGCACCCCCTGTCATTGGAATATTCTTTTAGATCCATCGTGGATCCCAAAAGAACACTTCAATCGAAAGCGACACGATGAAAAACTCTATCTGACCCGAAGAGGGTTAAACGTAAGGACATGTTAAAAATTACACAAATACGTTAAATTAACACATTCACCTTGTTAACACATTACATTTCTAACGTGTTCACTTTGTTAAAGTAACAGGGGAAATCCGGGTGGACCGTGCGTGGCACAGAATTGTTTACCGTGGAAGAGCTCATTCAACGGTCACACGGCCATTCATCGTGTCTCCCGAACTCTCGCGTCCGATCTCTTCCCTTTCCCGACCTGACACATTTCACCAGGCACAACGCTCGCGCGTTGTGCACCGGTAGCACCTCGCGAGATACCGGATATTGCGCGCCGGTCTACGCTATCGCACACGCCGCCATTATGTACAAAGTAATTTCGGAGAAATCGAGAGTCTACTAACGAACCATCATCTCCCCAACAGACCGCCGCTTGGAGGAGCGCTCGAGAAGGCGGCTCTTTCCTGCTTCCTGCGACCAAAGATGGAAAGTGAATGAGTGAGTGAGGTAGAGACAGAGAAAGAGAGAGAGGGAGAGGGAGAGAGAGATAGACAGAGCGAAGGGAAGAGTTCTCTTCGCAAAGTCGAGGTTCGGAGGCGAAAGAAGATAGGAGCGATCGTGGAACACGAGACGGTGATAATACCTGTATTCTGCAGCTGGGCGGGCGAGCCCAACGCTCCCAGCGGTGATCCGCCGTATCCTAGTGCCGCTAAACCCGCGGCTAGACCTGAACCTTGCTGTTGAGCCTGTTGCACCGCAACCGCCTGGGCTTGCGCGACCACCGCCGCTGCACTGCACGCCGCCAGACCTGCACCAAAAGCCCGCAAACCCACACGCGCTCTCTTAGTCGTCGTACGTGATTAGCGTTAATGTTAATCGGGAGAACCTCGCACCGTCTAGAGAAGCTCTAGCAGCTATGGAACAGTGTGTACACTATCGCACGCGTCGCGATCGCCTCTGTTCTGAGATCAGAAGTGGTAGCGCGATGGGTACGGCTCTGGCGAGACGGCCGGAGGAGGAAGAGGGAAGATCTCGCGCGCGAATATGTTAAATTAACGTATTCAAACGATATATGTGGGTGGAGGACGAAAGAGGGTCTATTACGGAAAAAGCAGAAGTGCTAATATTTAAATATTAAACAGAAACTTAAGAACAATCTAACGATTTTATTGAAACCGACGAATCTTGATTGAAAAAGAGGAAAAGTTAAATAAGATAATTAAAAGAACGAGAAAATGTAAAATTAGGAGAATATGAAAAAAATTAAAAATATAAAGAAAACAATGATTTGATTTTTCAGTGATATATCTGCCAATCACATAACGAGATTTTCTTTTCTTGCGGAACTTTGCGATAAAAATTTACTCGCTACGCTGTTCGTTATCTTTTTGTTGATAATATTTGGAAAACAAGAAACCAAATGTATCTAAATGTAAATGTCAGTTCTCAGTCCCTTAAGGTTAAATAGAAGAAACCGTCCCAGATGAGACCAATTAATAATCAATGAGAATGACTGACTTAACGAGAAATCTTGAATATCTCAGACCCAAAACCGCGAAATTCGAAAATAGACAACCTCCTTCCTGCCCTCCCCCTTCTCACTAACTAATGAGCCTTCCATCCGCAATCACCTGCTGCTTTACATCTCTCTCTTCTGCGCGCCGTTTGAATCTGTCAATAATCTTTTAGTCACAGATCGTTACAGTGCCGGGCGTGGCGCGTGTTTCACACGTATTTACAGGGAACAAAGAGACGAGGGCAAATCGACGACGATGGCGAACGGTCAAACGTGACGACGGAATGTCTGGAAATCGTCGTTGCCGGGCATACGTGGCGACATGGGTCCATGCATTAACACACACACACACACACACACACACACACACACACGTGTTACATCAAAAAAAGAGGCAACTGGGTGGCGGTGAGAGAGATCTTTACAAAATGTTACATATGACTTTACAACAGTGATTCACAAGAGAGTGCGCTGGCGAAGACGAAGAAGAAGTTGTCTATCCGCGAGACTCACCGAGACATTCACCGGGTGTGGCATTGCTGTGTGACGTCGGGGTCGGTTGTGAATACAGGTTCGCCGGCGGTGGAGCCGGCGGGCCCGGTGGCGGCTGAGACGGCGCTCTGTTCACGAGAACTGGTGCGGGACTGACTAATCTCATGGGGGTCGCCGCCGAGCTCAGGCCGCGCATACCTCCCATGACGATGGAGCCGTTCTGGTCGTAATACGCCGGTATCACCTGATACTGGCCCTGAACCTGCAAGTGTTTTGTTTCTCTCATTAGCACAACGGACGCGCCAAAAATGTTAACCCGGGAAGAAATGATTATACATGAGTTTTTGTTATATATACATTTTGTCCACATGTGTCTATATATAATTATATATGTCCCACATCTAAGAAATACTGTTATAACGGGTATAACTGAAGTGTAAATGCTTATGTTCGTGGCTGGCCACGGACGGCCGAACACTGAGAATTCAATCAAAATATTTCTCCCGCTTTTCCGCCAACAGTCTTTTTACTTCGCGCGGACACACATAATTATATACAATATAAATTACCAATGATTTTATGTAATTTTATACGATCCGTTTTTCCCGGGAAGTCTTTCTGAAAATTACGAGAGTTCCAATTCCCGATTAATAATAATTCGAAAGTTTCAACTTCCAGCTTCGAAAGTTCCGAGGTAGTTCCCCGTAAAATTTCATGCGATTTCGGAAGAATTTGCAAAATTCACGCGTTTAAACAGGGGAGCTTATGTGGCAAAAAATTTATGGATGAAAAGGACAGTCGAATTTGACGCCACGTCGAATTTATATTCCCGGATCGCAACGTTGCGCCACGCCAGTGTCTCCGTCTGGCCCTCCCACCGGGTGGAAAAGTCCATCGATCCGGATATCTATTGTTTACCCCCGTATTTGTCTATTAAACGTGCGTTTCATCGCTCCACGCGCGATGACAGACACAACGGACGCGAACAACACGCGGATTAAGCGCGCGCGATTTTATAGGTCAGGTACACCGACCGGGGGTAATTCCGCTCTCCCACCTTTGCTCCTCCGCTTGTCACTCCTGTATAGCGAAATATTCGGCCAGATTGAAGAGGACAATGTAGCGGCTCTAATTGGCACAATGAGCAGCCCGCACCGCGTCGTACGTCAAGCGCAGAAACGGGCATCATCGGTGGCTGCGTGCGCGCGCAAGCAAGAGAAAATAGCCTTTACAGAATTAGAAACGCATCTAATTCGCGGTACGCGCTAATTTTCCGCGAGCTCTCTATCCATCTTAAATTTAGTCCCTTCGTTGTAACCCCGAGAAAACACCGGGTGGTCGCGCGCCGGCCCATCCGAATCTCCAACCCGAGCGCGACCACCCCCGCTTCTTTGCTTCGCACCTTCGCTCTTCGCTACTTGATCGCGACGATTCCGATCATCCGAACTATTCGGAATCATTATCTGCACATTCCGGGCGCTGCAACGCTTCGGCGGCCGGTGCCAAGTTTCGCTCGCGCCTTGTCTCGCGCGCGCGGAATCGCTCTCGAAATGACCTGAAAACCTCGAAAGCTGCAAACTGCTTCCCCGCAGCAATTCGCCTCGCATTTTACGGCGTGGCTCGCAGCTGCGAGAGAAATTCACATCGTTCGATAATCATTAGGAAATTTCGTGAACTGCTATTCTCGCGTCCGCGGCAGGTTGTTCGCATTTTTCTTTCCTTTTGTTTTTCGTACTATCGCAGCTGCGGAAATGTTCGAGAACGCGGCCGAACTGCTTGGAAATCTCGAGAACTGCAATTCCCGCGTCCGCAGCTGCAAGGAGAAATGCCGAGGAAGCGGCCGAGCGGGGACTCACCGTCTGCGCCAAGTTGTTCGCGGTGTCTTGCGCGGCCGCTGCCGCGGCCGCCGCTGACGAGGGTGTGAGCGGTCGTCTCGGTGGCGGTGGCGCAGCCGCCTGTGGTGGTGCTTGGGGCAGAAGACCGGCCGGATAGACCCAGGGACCGACTCCATAGTACTGCGGTACCACCGGCGGCGGCGCGCCGGCAATCAGCGCGCCCACGTACGGTTCCTGGCCGCTGATGACAGTGTACGGCGCCGTCGGGAAGTTCTGCTGCTGCTGTTGTTGCTGTTGCTGCTGTGCCTGCGACGCCGCCAAGTACTGTTGCTGCTGCTGTTGCTGCTGCTGCTGCAACAGCTGCAGCTGTTGCGGTGTCGCGCCCTGCGGCTGACTGCGGAAAAGTTGCTGCAACGAAAAAAGGCGGTTCCGTTTAGCGTCGTCGGGGCTGCGAATGTAAGGATTACCGGACAGATATTTTTTAATAAGAGGACCCCCCTCTCTGACGATGTTTGTTCATAAGTCAGAAGCTTTTTACGGGGTATCGCTGAGAGCGTACGCGCACACAGTTATCGTGGTGAAATTAAGTTATTGATTTAAGGTAACACCGCCCGGTAAAAAATCCCGTGTGAAATTCGATACATTTCCTGGATGATCTACTGAAATTTTTGCGTGAATTTCACCGAGCTCCGTTCCGGAGGCTAAGACAGGTAAACGCCCAATGCTCCTTCCATCCTATCCCACGACCCCCCGTTGAAGCCGGGGCGAAGACCTCCCGAGAGTGGCATTCCCGATTCAGCGTACCGACCTCAGCTCTCTGCTGAACGCGCGTTTCGTAATGTCGGTCAATGTCAACAGCCCGAGAGGCCAGGCCGGCGTCGTGTCCCGACTGAAGACGGCGCGCGCGCGTGTAGCTTCGCGGTGCGGCCATCTGCTCGGAAACTTCACCGTCTCTCGAAGGTCGGCCACGTAACTTCTCGAGGCGACTCACAGCCGGCCAACGCGTCTCTAAACGCGCTCGCGGGAAGCAACTCGGGGGAGAGCAGAAGGGTAAAAATAGTCCGCCAGGTGAGAACCTCGACCTGCCCGCGGAGACCCGGAGAACTTCGGCGACAAGAAGGGAGGGAGGGAGAACGAAGGGGAACAACAACCGCCCGACGAAGCTGGGGGGCTTTTCGGCTTCAAGGCCCGATTATGACATCCCGTCGTCGTCGTCGTCATTGGGTGACCGCTCGTCGGCCCGGTCGTTTCCAGCGCGCGCTGGAATCAAGGCCGCAGGCCTCGCGGCGCAAAAGACGACGACGCTGCGGCGTGCCGTTCGTGCCGCGAAGAAGGCGGCCTCCTCCTCTCCGCCGCCCGGCCGGCCCAGGTCGACGACCCCCCGCGGACGTTCACCGACACGCGTTCGCCGCTCCGGCGACCACCGCCACTAACACCGAGCATCGGTGATCGCATCGTGGATTTTAATTGACCGACAAACCGTGCGCCGCGCGCGCCTCCACCCGAGTCATGGTGATTCGGCCCAGCGAGTAGTGCAGCCTGAGAGCCTCCGAGCGAGGAAGAAGGTGCAGCCCTCGATTCTCGAGGGGGAGAGGGGACGAGTGGTTTTGCACGCTGATGCAAACGATCATGAGGCAGGAAGAGCGAGAGAGAGAGAGAGAGCCCCGCAGCAGCCTTGGCCTCCGCGAGAATCGCCCGGGCCGGACTCACCGAGAGAGCCGCACTTGGACTCGTATTTCGAAAGTCCGGCGTAACCTTGAGGCGGGAACACGGAGATGGGGACTGCTGACCGCTACCGGCTTACGTAAGATTTAGCGGTGTACGCGGCCGGCGAGTGGCAACGAGCATATTATGTGGCGCGCGGCAGTATCGTGAAAATTTACATACACCGTGGATCGATAAAAAGTGTGCAAATGCGCGCAGGACATTCCAGTTTCTCCGCATAATCGACGCTCTCTCTCTCTCTCTTTCTCTCTTTAAATTTCTATTTAGACTCGATCTGCCAATTTAAATCCAGCTTCTCTAACTATTCAATCGTTTAAGATTAACCAGTGTACATAATAATGTACATTAACTTTGGGCCTTCCCCAAGTTTATTATTATTACTATTATTATTAAATAAATGAGGAAATAGAAGCTTCCTCTGGATGAGGGATAGATAGAGGTGAAATAATGAATACACTTGTTTAGGCTTGCTTAGATCACAAGATAACAGAATATAAAGCAAAGGAATTAAGAGAGTTACACACAACAAGTACATTCATAGAACGTCTTTCGATCAATGAAATGTATCTCTGGCGCACTTTCTTATTACTAGCACTAACATATATCAGAGCTGTCCGTCATTACGGTTTAAATATTTCGACCTCTCTATTAGTAGCATTATTAATAATCATTTCTTCCTAATTGTCAATTCACTAATTAATCTTGCAGCGCTCTTAGAGGGCTTGTCCTAAAAATGATTAATGAAAGTTTTCATCTATCTATCTATCTATCTCGAGTCGAGCATGGTACTCCGTCCGTCCGTCCACTCCGGGCTCGTTTATTTTCGGACGACGACTCTTGGTGCTAAAGCGAAATAAAACAATTGGCTGGTATTGAATAAACAAGAGCGGGCGGAATAAATCGAAGAAGCGGGACAGGAAAATGGAACACAGAGGGTCTTCCTCCTCTGGCATTTGCGGGCCCGCGCGCAGAACCGCGAGAAGCGACTTCGACCGTTTCTTTCTCAGGATCAATTATCGCGATTGCAATCGTCCGTCCGTCGCATCGGTGAACGATGGCCGATGCAAACGTGTCGCGCGAGTTGGGTTCGCGCGGACGGTCGATAAATTTAATAACATTATACCGTCCGTGGCGTTATTCGCGAGCGAGGGCGCGTGGCGGCGACCTTCGGGCTGGAAAATAAATGGAAGAAGACGAAGGGAAGAAGAAGAAGTCGCGGCGTCGTCGCGCCTCCGTAACGTAAGAGAACCGGCTGATCTCGCTCGCGCACGAAGCGTAGAGAACCCGAAGCATTCACGACACGCTCCAGCCCTAAGACGCAGCGATGCGTTTCGGGTATTAACCTCTTCCGGAAACGGCCCGAGCTTGAGCCAAGGCCACAGTTACACTTGACGGTTACTCCGCCAGCGCGGGAGTCACGAGAGCGCGCGTGTGAGAGAGAGAGAGCTCTGATCATTTTCTAATGAACGCTGTTTGGACGTTTGCTCGTCGCCTTTGAGCGTAATTGCTAAATTATTTGATAATTCCATAGGTTCCCTGGAAAATTGCAATTAACGAACGATTCCCCGTTTTCCTCGGTCCAATTTCATTCGCCGCCGGACGATATCTGAGCGTCTCATGAGGAAAATGCGCGATGCTGCATTCCGCATTGAATTGCGCAATCATCCGCTACTGATAGTTCGTCGGTACTAAGCACGCTTTTCGTTTCAAGGTATAAAATGATGTTTTTTTTTTTTTAAGAATTCATCGACAGCATGTACAGATTTATACATAGATTCAAATATTACCCGATTATCGGCGCAATTAGGAGACGATTCGGAAACTGATATTCACAACTAGAGGTGAGACTTTTTATACGTTCACCACGAAATTAATGTCCTGTTTTTAACTTCGAGCGGTGAACAGAGAAATCCCGTGCGATTTTGCAGAATTTACAATAGTTCATGAGAAATCAATTTATATGGACACACCACAGAACCTGAGAAAATTACCAGACACCCTATATGTAAAAGAAGGTGCCACAGTACCTTAGACCTATCTTACCTTGGACCCGTATTATCGATTTCACCGCTATCTAGCGATTCTTGGCTTTGCTGATGTCATAATTCAACGTGTTTGCATTTTACCGCCACAGATAAGAATTCTGATGGTAAACACAATGAGTTATCACATTAACCAAGTGAAGAAAAATCACTTGGATAAAGCGCTGATTCCGACATAGGTACAAGGCTTTGTACAGCACCTTCTTCTACACATACTTGTCTGAATTTCGCTCAAAATTAACACCTGTTCCTTAAATAATAATTACATAAAGTTAAAGGGGAAGCATTTCTGTTCAGCAATTAATCAACTTAAGTAGGAGTCTCTTAATATCGTCACTGACGATCCGATGCAACCAATAGGATACAACTACCTCATTAAATTTTCACGTACGCTCGTGAAACGAAATACATCCGAAATAAGAAAAGTCGATTCCCCCCCTTCACCGTTCGATCTTCCTCGGCCAACCGCGCGGCGCAACAACGCGAACGCGTTCTTCTCGGCGCGGAATGACTGTGTTCTCTCCTCCGCACGCGGGGGAGGGGGATTTCGACTCGCGGAAAAATGCGGTTTAAATAGGGGGAGGGTCTCGCGAGATGCGCGCATGTGTGTGCGTGCGTGCGAGACGCGCGCGAGCGGCTCATTAAGGTCAGATATCGGGCGGCGCGCTCGAGACGCTTCTTTCTCACCGGCGCTGAACCGTTAATCAAAGGAGGATCCCATCATCGATCGCGAGTCGAACAAGCGTCGGTGTGACGCCATCGGAGGGGCAGGAGGGGAAAGGGGGAACACGGTCATTAAAGACGTCGTGTGTGCGAGCACACCATGTCGATTTCTTACGCCGCCATTTCTTCAATAAAATCGTTATTTCGTCGCCGATCGGACTACCGGCGGAAACTCGACCGCGCGATTATTACCGCACCTCGCTTAAAATCGGCGGAGAGAGACAGAATTCCGCTCTCGGGCTTTACTTTCGCGTGTCTGAAACGTTATCGTTTTTAATCGCGTTATCGTACCGCGGGCTATATTTGACTACGTCTCGTTACCGCCGTCGTTTCGCTGGGAAGAGATAATTCCGAGCCCTGCGCGATGGTGCGGCTCTATTTTCGCGACTGAACGTGGTCGTTTTTAATGCGCGCGCGAGAGCAACAATTTGCCGTGGCTCTGGGCGTGTCGTCGTTATACGATTATTATATTCATCATGGAGCGCGCACCCTCGCCCTCGAGAATAGAAGAGCCGAGACAAACGTCTAAATGGAAATTACGATGATTGCGGGTAGAAACGACGACGGCAGCGATGAGGAGTCCCCGCGGAAGTGTTGAAATAAAAAGGGGGGAAAGAGGAAGAGAGAGAGAGAGAGAGAGAAGGAGAGAAAAAAAGTGGGTGAAGCGCACGACGTTATGCCAGGAACGGACAGTCGATTTGGGGGACGGGGAGGGGGCAAACACAATGGCGCGACGTATGCATTGTCGTGGGCGAGAAAAGGGGGATGAGTTGGTACGCTCCTGGAAATGTGAGTCATTGTCGGATACATAAGGCTTCCGGGCCGGCGGCGGCTTTACAAATCCCGGCCGACAATACGGGCCCCTGATTCCCTGCGGTTAAAAATAATACCCCATCCCGTCGTCGTCGTCTTTGCTTT